TATTGAAAGGCCAGCATGTAATGGGAGGGGTAATCATACTTGACTTTTCTGATAAGAAAGTTCATAGTCCTTCTGTTTTGTGTTCCTATTACATCAATCCAATTCTCTGACTGAACATGTGGAGATCCCTAAACTGAACAAGCCTTTCTCGATGAGTTGTGCCTTTTCGTGCAAAACACTGATAACTACTACTACTAAGCAGGTGCTTCAGCAATATTTTTTTGCTAAAAAATGAAAAACCCTACTGCCACCACAAAGCAGTGCTGGCTTTGTGTCCTCCAGCTGACCAGGTATTGCTGCTCAGATCCTACCGCAAAGATTTCCAGTAAAAAAGAAGGGAACAGGAATAGGCAGCTTGACAATATGGGTGTTAAAGAGTGTTTACAGTGTTGGGACACAAAACAAGCAAACTCTCCCCAAAATATGATACCCTGAAATTGCAGGGGACAGAGAAACTATTGTAGAAGACACTAAAGGAAAAGTAATAGGGAAAACAGATGCTGAATTCCTAACCACTAGATTGCAAAATGTGGGAGAAGAGCAAATAGAGCTTAACTGGCATCAAAAACATTTCTGCCTCTTTTTGAGTCAGAGCTGTGACTGTCTCAAAAAGAGTCCAACTACAGACCTTATTAATAAGGTAATGATTAACTACTACATTAGTAGCTGAGGTTAAGAGAGAAAGAAACGGAGCCATTAAAAGTGTTCTTTTCTATTACTGCATTTTCCTTAAGATCTTTTGAGTCACAGGAGCCTCCAGAGGCTGCAAGGAGATAGTCTAGCCACGCAGGCAGCTGCTAGAGGAAAACGACAGCAGGATTCCCACAGTCCCACAACTTTCAGTCCCAGCCATGGGAGGATTTAATGAGAGACACAACTTGCTGCTTGAGATTCTGGAAATCACAAATTCCCTGCTAGAGAAGCAGCTCAGAACTGAACAGAATTAAATCTGAATAAAAGTCCTCAGGAGGGAAGAGTCAGAAATTTCAGAGAGGAAAAAAAAAAAAAAAGAATTAGTGCATAGAAACAAAGATAATGGGGAACAAAGATAAATTTTAAGGAAAAAAAAAAAAAAAACAAGGAAATAGGTAGCACCAGTTCCCCTGAAGATAAATTGTAAGGGGAAAAGGAATACAGGAGGGCAGGAAATTAAAAAGAACTGTATGTAAAACTAAGTACAATTTTACAAACTATAATTTTTAATCACAATTAAACATATATATATATATAAATTATTTAACACTGTAGCTAAATCCAAATTTTAAGAGCACATTGATGTGCTCAGGGACAACATGGTCACACCAAAAGCTTCCTGATTCAATGATCAGAAGCTTCATACAAGAAATGATGACAAGGGCACACCATCAGAGATGATAAAAAGAAACAGCATAAGCATCATAAGCATCTTGAAACAGAATCAAAAAGACAAAGACACGGGCTCAAACTGGAAACAAGCATTAATTAAAAAGGTCACACAAGCCAAGGGTAAAGCCATGAGATTTTTAAACTGAAAAAGGAATTATTTTCTCTATAAGAAAAGAGAAAGAACCACTATGTTATAATTAGGTACGTTACATATAATGCCTGTTAGCCACTAGCAACCATCTTCAAGATCAGGAGCGCAGCCAGAGCACTGAGAAGCAGAGCAAACCTATCTGGTCTCTTTAGAAAAAGCGGAAAAACGTATATAGAAGTCAACAGTGAAATGATGAAACATTTAAATGATTAAACCAATCACCTGCGTACACTTTTAGGAGGAGACTGTTTATCATCCCTGTGCAGTATCTCATCTTAACCTACAAGCCCAAGTTTTTCCTTGCTTCCAAGAAATTAAAACCACAATTATGGCATGAAATATTTAAATTCTGCTTTCTTTTTTTCTATATTCCACTTGCTTCTGTTTCAGTAATAATATTATTTTGTCTGGGATTAGCTGAGAATCTGCTAGGAAATAAATAAAAATTGAATCTTCAGGTTATGATGATTTATTATTTGTTTTTCCTGCCTCCCAACTATAAGCCCTCCCTAATTAAAACCATCTTTTAAAAGTTATTTTCCATGCAAATATTTAATAACCTTTTCCTCTTAAAACTCTGTTAGTACCTGTTGATTTCATATCTGCAATGCTGAATTCGTTTCTTCGATGGAAATTTGATACTAGAATTTTTTTTTTCTTTATTTTCCTAAAATGAACACGCAAAGACAGGAGACCCAACTTCCCATGGGCAGTAAAGGAAGGACACAGAGAACGGGGGCAATTTTACAAACAAACTCCCTCAAAACAAGAGAAGCAGGGGGGGAAAGTAACATCCTTGAAAGGCAAAGCAAGGAGTTTTGCAAACTACTAATCTTTTCCCCAAACAACACCAAAGAGATGGTTATTTACGTTAAATACCTAACCAGACACGTAGTATTCCCATCTTTGCAGAGGTCTAGACTGAGCCACAAGATTTTGTGCCCTCTCTCAGGCCACCCCAGGCCGATGCCAGAGCCAGCCCATGTGCAGCGCAGGCAAAGGTTGCAGAAGTGCTGAGGCAATGAGGAAATGCTAAGCGGCCATTTCTCTGATATTCAGCCAGGAAAGGCCAAGGGAGCAGGCTCCGCAGCCGCACTAGAGCCGGCTCACAATCTTCATGAGGAAACAAGGCACTATGTTTCACCCTCTTGTTTCTTTGGCAAAAAGTAGGAGGAAAAACAGAGCAGGACGGACAACCCTTCCCCTGAGAAGCTCTGCATTTACTTGTTGCCAGAGCGTGCTGTGCCTCTCTGCAACACCTGCATAACCCACCTTGCTCTCGGCCTCGGCAGAGCAAAAGATGAAGGGGAAGAAATATCTCAGCTATGGAAAAGGAACAAAAATGTTTTGTGCATCTAAAACATAACTGAGCATTTAATTTCAGTGAATATCAGGTCAATAAGCATCTAGCAAATGAACAGCGCTCTGCTTTTTTTTTTCCTTCTATTTTACCTTTCATTAAAAAAAAATAATAATTCCATCTAAACTCAGTTGAACACCATAAAACCCTTCATATTTTAAAGAACTTTGGAACAATTATTTTGAAGGGAGCCCTTGACAGCTAAATGACTCTGTTAAATGAATGTTACAGAAGATACATTTAGTGAAATGTTTTTAGTGAAATATTGAATTTAACCACAAATGAGGAAAACCAGCCATAAGCTGTCTAGAGCCCCCACTCTTTCTTTACTTCCTTGTTTGCTTTTCACATTTATTAAAGGTTTCTCTTTTTTTTTTTTTTAATCTAGAAAAGCAGTAAGGAAATTTTGATGCCTGCAGCTACTGGTGCCATGCCTGGGCTGCACTTTATTGCGGACCCAAGATGCTAAAGAGATTGTGCTGCATAGCCAAAGTACTGCTGCTTGTTACAGCCACAATGCTCAGGAACTGAACTCACCCAAAGCAAAACCCAGTGTCCCCAGGGAGTCTGGGACAACAGTTTGGAGAGAAGCAAAACTCCTGTTGAAGTTAAGGGGGAGCTTTGGAGAGCTAGGGCTAGGCAAATGCAGCACAGTGTTATTTATCCTGCAACACTCTCCACATCACTCAGATTTCTTATTTTCTGTGTGATCTGAAACAGCACTAGGGTTCTGTGCCATTTCTCATTAGCATAGTAAAAACAGGTCTGAAGTAATATTAGAGTTTAATTATTCTTTTTCTGATTATTGATATTACACTCCAGCACGAGAACAAGGCACTGTTCTTCTGATGCTGAAATGCCACTTTTTAGAGAACTTTATTTGCTGGAAGAAAAAGAAATGAATTGAAAACAATCCCCCAGGACTGTATTTCTCTGTATATTTAGAGAGGGAAAAGAAAAATCTTAATGTTGAAGAAATGAGGCCAAAGGATCATATGTATTCAGCTTCTGCAGTGAAATGAAGTGGAATGACTGTTTCACAGTAGAAAGGCCAACTACAGGCACCAAGGCAATATTTCTTGGGATCTACCGCCTGTCTAAAGCTTTTAGCTCTCCAGTCTAACACTAAAAACACACACAAAGAAGATTTAGTTGGAACAATCAAAACATGTGGGGAAGTGGAGGATTCAGGTATGAAACAAACTAAGATCCTTGTTGGAGGATTAGCCTAACCAGACAACTGAAGCAGCAACAGCTACATAGCAGGTTTGCATGAACCAGATAGCTCAACCCGTTGGTTCTTAACCCCCTGATGCTTTTATTTCTTTAGCCCCAGGTGTTGCATGGCGCCTCCTCGAGATTTCCACCCCATTTGTGGTGCCCAGAGCAAGCCCGACGTGGAGCTCCTTGGAGAAGGGCTCCGAGCCAACTGTGTTCCCCATCATTTACCCAGGCTCATTCACACTAATTCACTTGGAATCTGCTCCCACTGCATTTCACGTCCCCCTACACTTACAGAAACAGCTGCTCTAAGGGGAGGGGGAGGAGAATGAGAAAAAAAAAGGTAAAAAAGAGCCCCATGGCTCAATGCCTATTTAGCCTCAGAAAGCATGACTTTAAATATTGTTGGACTACTGATATTAGCAGCTACAGTGCTTACAAATGGAACAGCCTTTGCTCTCTTCGCTCTGGATGACAAGTACTACAGTAACAAAAAAAATTTAATTTGAGCAAATAAATAACAAAATCCAGGAATTTCGCATCTAAAAGAAGCATTTTTTTTTCCTTGGACTTGGGGTGGACTTCCAACCATCCCTTCTTCCTCCTTCCCCCACTTCAGCCCATTGGAATAAACATAAGTGTGTGTTTTCCTTTAAGAGTCAGCCGTGGTTCAGTGAATAGGCTGACATGTTATTTCATGTGAGAAAAGAAGCTGTGCTTTTAATCTCATTTTCACTCTAGATTCCTCACTAATGTATCTGGGGATGGTTAAGCCTGCATTCGCTATAAGACATCTGCATCACACACAGTTTGGCCCCTCTGTGTTTCCACAGAGCATAGGTGAAAAAGTAGCTGTGTTGCTTGCACCTGCTATGCAAAAATGATAAATCTCTGTATACTCACAGATGTAGAAATATTCCCGGCCTGGCCTGAACTCAAATCCTAGTGAGAAGGGAGTGAAGAGCTGAAATTTTTCTGAGAACTTCAACGGTCCATTTGGGGAGTGTGGCTGGTTACACTCCCACCTCTTGAATCCTTTGGAGGGATGATTGCAGGAGCTGTAACCATCAAAGTTCACCATGTTCTGGAATCTAAAATGAAAGGAAGAATTCAGAGAAAAAAAAAAAAAAAACAGTTATTGGTTGGAAGTCAGGATAAGCGTCCTGTAGGATCATGTGTTCGTACAAGGGGCATCATTAATGGCATCATTCATTTCACTCCAGCCATATACCTTCACTCTTAAAAAACAACCCTCACAGCTCACCAGAGTCATCAGAGACAGCTCATGCAGGACTGTGGTCAAAGGGTCTTCTGGATATAGGTTTTGCCCTTTTGTCTTACAGGATGAATCTCTGGCCACAGGCTGTTTTTCCCTCTGACTTATTGAACAGGCAAAGGAAGAAAGTGTCTTCTTTATCCCTTCTATTTTTATTTATTTATTTATTTATTTTAATTGGAGAAAGAAGCAAGGAGAAGCAAGGAAGCCAAAACTCCATCAGCCTCCCCAAATCGGCGTCTCTCTGAACACCTACAAACGTGCAAAAGTAAATAAGCTGATGCCATCCTCTCCTCAGAATCGGGCAGCAACCACTCCTTTGCTGAAGCTGATCAGCCTGCAAGGACTTCTCCAGACTACAGCAGCACACATAGGTTTCCCCTCTCTGTTACGCATCGGGACACAGAGTTTATTTTGGGGGTGGCTGGCATGGGGGACACCCCACTTCCCCCCTTCCAAGCGTCACTTTCATGACTTCTCTACAGCTGGCATGGTATCCGCGAGGAACTGCAGGAAGGGATTCGCCGCCTCGGCAGGAGCCCACACTGTGATGGATTTAATGAGACCATAGAGCAGGTCTGTACGTGCAGCCAAGTCCCTGGGGCAGCAGGCGAAACCAGCCCTGACCTGCTCCACTTCTGACCGCCTGCACTCCTTGCAGCTTCCCTCCTCCACGGCTGCACTTGTCAAGTGGATCACAGAGCAATAACAAGACCCTGACTATAATACTTCATTTTAGCTGAGGGGCATATTTTAAACACCTGATGGGCTTGAAATCTGCTATCTGGATCTTTCTATCTAATTTCTGAGAAAAAGCAATGATCTGCCGGCCCTCCAAGGATAAATTCAGAGCAAATTGTACCTTTTCATATCCCTGCAATAATTTAGCTTCAATAAAATAGCTTTTTAAAGGGGGAAAAAAAACTGAACACGCATCAAAGCATGATATATCCGTATAATTTCAGACAGTGCACAGCCTCATGACTCCATTCTGCAACATGGAAAAGTCTTTCTAAACCACAGTCATTTCAGCAGAACTCACATTTATCTAAATCATTAGCCAGAGATATATTTTTGTACTCCAGTGCTTACAGAGCCTGTCACCTTAACAGCTACTGTCTTAAAACATTTGCAAAGCTGTATTGTTTTTAAATTGGTCTTTTTTTATCATATCAGTTAACAGCATGTCATTTCTTACAGGTAATGAAATGGGGCACCTTTTAAGTTCTGAAGAGGAAAGTCTAATTCTGGAAGTGATCTTTTTTTTTTCATACATTGTATTTTTAAGTAAGTAAAAATGACACACACACTATATATATATATATATATATATATAATACAGGTGATGGACAATGCAAAGTTTTCTTTGTTGTTGTTCTCAAGGCTCCCTCTGGTACAATGCTGTGCCTTCACAATAACACCCAGTCGCGGTTTTGTGACAGAAACTATCTGCTTTCAGAGCTACACTTAAACAACTGCAGACAGCCGGGATGAGACCACTCTCCTTAACTTTAGACTTTCACAATACAGATGCCCTTATGTGAACTGCTTCTCTGGGTTTCCTTTAAGGCTATGAAGAGAAATAGGCACTTCTAGAGCCTAATTTATCTGACCTGCTTAGGCCCAAGGTGCACTGGGAGGAGAGGAATCGTGCTCCAGGAGTGGCTATTTCTCTCCTTGAACTGAAAGGAGAATCTAGACAGAAATTTCACAGACATTCTGCACTGTAAATAGCTAAATTTGAAGGGATGACCTTTCCCTCCCTCTTCCCCTTTTCCCCACACTCCACAGGCATTTGCTGTAGCCAAGATGCATTTACATGTAGGGGTCTAAAAAGAGAGAAGGTGCATATTGCTACTCCGTAATCCCAGCAATCACCCACACACTC